TAAATTAAATGAACAAAGTCAAGAGAGGTGATAATTTGTTGGTAAATAAAAATTCTTCAGGGAGACAATTCACAGACACTTGAAGAGATTATTAAATACCTTGTAATCTGCATTTTAATTCTGAATGTCATTTCGGTTTCATAAATAATTTTCAAGTGTGTATGTTTGAATGTTACCTACTTTTTCCTGATACAGAAACTGATATTCAACGTGTGGCTCCACATAATCTCCATTTCTAGGTATATGATTTAGCTAAAAGGGAAGGCATCTCCTCCTTCAGCTACATATGGTTTTAGTTACATCAGACTAAATGTGCCAAACAAGCAGACATCCGTGTATCCATTAGATGATGGCGAGGCTTGATGGAATAACTTTCCTATAGCTTTTGGTGATCATTGTCTGACTTGCATGTTCCTTCTGTCAGTTGGCTCATGCTATTCCATCTTAGACTCTATAGTAGATTAGTTTTGTATTGTGTTCTCTTCTTGGGTTGAAAGAAATAGGGACTGAGCACAAACTCCTACCCAGAATATAGAAAGTTACTGCTACTGCGTATTATATCATACATGCATTGTGGAGACTTCTGACTCAGAGGAAGACTTTTACTCCATTTCCTGGAGGTTAAGTAGTAATGCCTTGGGCAGTGTTGGAAGATATGCTACTTGTGAGTTTTAAAAATGTACAGATTGGGTTATTGGATTAAAATTTAGAAATATGTATTGGTGGCTGCAATTTCTAACTTCCAGCTGAGTGTCATAGTTCAGACACTGAAGTTATCTCTATTGTCTGCTTCCACTCCACAGAGGACTATACCTTGAGGCTGTCTCAAATTTACTAGGAAATTAGCTCTACTCTTGGTCAAAACCAGTTTCAACCAAAGTGTTAAAAGTGTTCCTTTTTTGTTCCCTCTGAAGGAACCTAAGAGAAGAAAGTCTCTAAAACAGAAACTACAGACAGAGACACAGGGTAAAGCAGGACCTGGAATAGAGGACCTGGGGAAAATGGTCATTGGTAAAGCCTGGTATCTCTGTGGGAACAGCAGGTTTAACAGAAATAGAACATAATTTTTCAACAATTTTTCAGGAAAAAGAAGACCCTTGCTTTGGAATGTTACAGATCTTAATTGCCAAGTATTTATAGGCAGAGGTGGTGCTGTCAGAGGGGTTAGTCTGAGTTTTGTGGAACCGGAAACAGGTAATGTTGACAGGAGCCTTCTGTTATGGAGAGTTCACTCTCTTACACTCTTATACATTTATCTTACAATGAATGGATGTGGCCTGTTTTTCCCCATGAGCATGCAGAGACCAGCTTACCTGAAATATTTCTTTAGTAAGATAAATCCAGGCCTAGTGATTCCACTGCCCATGTCACACTGATAAAACACCCCCAGGGTGAATTTCCTGTGGATTCTGTTCTGGCCATTCCTATGAGGGATGAGATTTATGGTGGCCTGTCTCTCCTTTTTATAAAGTGCTATAAATAGTGTCTGCTGATCAACTTTCTTTGTAATTCCCTTAAGCAGCAACTATCTTCTCTTTCATTATGCATAGGTTAACAAACTCCCTTGTAAGTGAAAAAATAACACGAATGATCTAAGAGCTAAATCAAGGATGTTCACAGATGCAGATTTGGCTTTGTTTCTTTGTTTTCTGAGACAGGGTCCTACTACACAGCCCTTGACTGTCCTGGAACTAGCTATGTGGACAAAGTTGGCCTCCACATCCAGAGTACTAGGTTTAAAGAGATGCACCACACCCAACTCAGACGTAGATCTGAAATGCCTCCTGACATGACAGAGGACAAACATCTAAAGATGTTGCCAAAAGAGTCTTCAAAGGACAGCAGTTTGCTCTTGTCATTTGAATCTGCTTTTATAGCCATTAGGATAAAAGATAGGCAAACAAGGCATCTTAAAAAATATATAATGTGTGAAATCCCTGGATGTACATGGCTCTTTCTTTAACTTTATGGTGATAATAAATTTTAAGTTTGGAATAGAGACATTGTTGTATTGTTCCCTGTATTTTAATTGGGGATGAGAGCTGCTTGAGGGTGGTTAACTATAAGAGTTGAGAAGAATGGACTCTTCCTAGAGAGTAACTTCAGGGTGCTCAATTGTGTACCTAAAATGTTCTGTGATTTCTAGTTTAGAATTGCAAAAACTAAAGTGAACGTATCTGACTAGGAACATGTGTTTAATCATCTGTGAACTTAGAAAAAATAGGATGAGTAAACATTTCTGAACAGCCTCTGCCTCCATAGCATCTCATGTGGCCTTGGACAGCTGTGCATAGACTTGGGCCTGGAGTACCTCCAGACAGTTCCTGAAGGGAAGTGATTTCCCCCCAAGAGGTTCATGATATCTGACTGCTCTATTTGTACCAAAGAAGAAATATGAGTCACCTTAATTTAGTGTAAACTAAAGGCCTTTCTCAGGGAGAAGGCTGCTTGAGAGGTGAAGTCAAAAACTTAACATGAAGGACCAGACAAGAGTATGCAAAGGTAAGCAACAATCCCAGGATCAACCCACCCCTCAGATCCAAAGAGCAGTGTGCTACCAGCATTATTGGCTTTATTTTGACTGTCTTCTGTAACATTAAAAAGCGTTATAGGCATCACAGCTTTAACTTTTATATCATGCCTCTACAATAGCCTTCAATCACCACCGCAATAATGAGGCAGAAATGATTCAATCCTATCTGAGTGGGGTGGCTCTGCAGAAGCATCAGGGTATAAAAGCTTGATGTTTGAGTGCCGTCTTGGAATGAGTTTTGAAAACTGTATCGGATTTTAGAATGAGAGTTTGAGGCTAGATGGGAATCAATGGAAAGGATAATAGGATTATTAGCAATGTCCAGAATGGATACAGTCTGGAATTGGGGAAAACACAAACATAATGAAATTTATAAAGTATTTAGAGACTCAGCATTGTGGTACATCCTTGTATTCAGAATGGAAGAAGACAAGCTTCCATATACAAGAATACTTCCTAACTGTCTAAACTTTCAAAATACTTAATAGTAAACTGGTCCATTTCATAGTGCTCCACAAGAATAAACATGTCACCTTAGAGTGCTGAGTACTTTCAACTGAAAATGCTGGATGAGTCTCAGATATTTTGTATGTGAACTTTTCCAGTCTTCTTCTCTTTCCCACAGCCTCAACATAGCCATGACACTGACCAATAAAACACTGTTCTCTGTGGATCTTTGGAACGGCTAGCCACGAGGATATGCCCTGACCTAGAATGGCTAATTGCAGGTCCTAAAGGTGACAGGCCAAGCCGCAGTAGGGAAGAATGACAGAAAGACTGAGAGGTGATGACACAGACAAGTCCTTCTGAGCATCTCCTTACTCAGTTATGACACCTTGTTCTTTATTCAATCCCATTTATAAATAGTTATTTATTCTCTATTGAAATTACTCATAAACAATGACAGTTTTCTCCAGGTATTTGGGGTTTTATGTCTGACAGGTCCAGATGTTTTCTTAGGCTTTTGGAGATTGTGGGTTAAAGGGCACCAAAGCAAAGGCAGAAGGAACATTTGTCAAGATATACCAGAATCACGTGTTATATACAAATACCTGTTGGCATAATCAGAACATTTCCTATGATTCTAAAGCCAAGAAGAAGTACAGTGTACCACTCTGTCATTTCTCATTATTTTCAATAGATATCACTTCACTCCCACATTTAGTAAAATATTTATATCTTAAAACTAAACCTCAATTTTTCACTTATGGTGATCATTACAGTTAAAATGTGTTAAAAAGTAAATATTACATGTAATTTAATCTTATTTTACTGACATATCATTTTATACCTATGTATAAAAGCCTAAGTATTTATCTCAGTACTACAGGAGAAAAGGTACATAGAAAAAGAACAGAAGTCAAGAGCCTTTATTCTCTATTCCTGGGTGAGAAAGAATGGGCTATAAGGAATTCTCATTAATTTAATTACACAATACAGAATGTCTATAGTTTTCAAGATAACAAATCTGAAATGAATGTCATGGAGTTATGTTGTGGAACAATCTTTTTGTACACAGAGGTTAGGCAGGACTTGTGGACAGGGAGAGAGCTCTCTGGGATGAAGAATGGTAGAGTTGCCAGATAGACAAAGAGGGAGCAAGACATACAAGAGAAGAGGTAAATGCCGTGAGTCATGTGGCAACATATAGATTGATAAAAATGGGTTAATTTAAGTTGTAACAGCTGGTTAGTAACAAGCCCAAGCTATAAGTCAAGCTTTGATAATTAATAGGAGGTCTCCATGTGGTTATTTGGGAGCTGGCTAGTGGAACAGAGAAGTCCACCTACAGGGTTAAGTCAAGGAAGCTGGGGAAAACACTCCCTTATGCTTTATTCTGCAATTTCTTGACCACACACACTCCTCTCTTGACTTTCTTGCTTCATTGAAAAAAATACCCAAATATTTAAATCAGTGATAATAAACTTAATCTGTCCCTCTAAAGATCGTAATTTAGTCCCATCTGCAAAGCCTCCTGTGACAGAAGATAATGCTCCCATAGGCCAGGAATTCAGAACCGAGACAGCCTGGACAGCCATTCCTCTCTCCACATTCTCAGTGGATGCTGATGTCTGAAGTTCAGATTCTGATCAGATGCACTTGTGACTGAATGTGTCAGTAAACTTCTGTTAAGATGGTAGGCTCACCAGTCAAATGCATGTGTCAAAACTTTCTCAGTATATCCTTTATTCTATGGAAATCTACCAAAGGCAACCCTCCTAAATACCTAATGACCATAAGTAGAGTTACAGGAACTTAAAATACATTAGAATCAAATCTGCCTTGGACTACAAATGGACATAGTGATTCACTCATACTCATTAATTAAGAGGTGGGAAAATAGAACTCCAACTCAGACAAGGATTCATTAGAAAGTCCAGAAATTTCAATTAGTCCAAGTAATATTTTTTTTTGCAAATTAGGTGTTGGAAGGGCATTTGGGAGGAAAAGCAGGTAAGATGCTTACCTTAAATAACAAATCCTTCTTCCCATAACGGAGCTCTTTCAGTTGGGCTTGGATTTTTTTCGACTGTAAAAGGAGAGATATACATTAGTGCCTATGCTCACTTTTATTTTCAGTCTTGAAGATTTAAATTTTTTCACACTGCACAGGCATAAATACTTCAGCTTAGTCAAACAGAAGCCTATAATTTGGACAATCAACAGAGAAGACTAAATTTAGTTTTGACATTAGACATGTAGACATCTGGGTCAGGAAGCAAGAATTCAGTATGTTTAAAAAAATTATATGTTGCCGGGCGGTGGTGGCGCACGCCTTTAATCCCAGCACTTGGGAGGCAGAGCCAGGCGGATCTCTGTGAGTTCGAGGCCAGCCTGGTCTCCAAAGCGAGTTCCAGGAAAGGCGCAAAGCTACACAGAGAAACCCTGTCTCGAAAAACCAAAAAAAAAAAAAAAAAAAAAAAAAAAAAATTATATGTTTACAAAGGTGTTATTTAAATAAACTTTCTATCTTGTACTCTACACACAAACACACAAAATATCTGTAATTTAGGCATGACAAAAAATCTAATTTTATGTGGCAAGGCATGTGTATAAATGCAGTTATTTCTGTTGTTATTTAATTACTTTTTTAAGAACAGTGATGGGTAACTGCAAATGAATGGACAGGTTTAAATTCACTGTATTTTCAATGGAAACTAGCAACCAAATGGACAGAATGCCAGCAAAATTCTATTATTCAAGGGTAAATTGGGTTAAAGAAGACTATACTTTGTAACAGGATACTTATAAATATAAAAATGTTTAACAAACTCAATTGCTCCTAGTGACATATTGCTACACACATTTACCTGCATCCTTATAATTCATCTGTAAGCTGGAGAAGAAGACTATGTATCCTCAGCCTTTTAGAAACAAACATGATTACTAGTGCTGTAATGTGAGTACCTCAGCTCACTGAGTTTCTACTCTTGAAATAATGGGTCCTCATACTTCACTGGGAAGAGACATCCACATGGCCATATACACATATGCACATATACACATGATCGTGGGCGAATGTATAAAACGTGGTGAAGAATAGTAGGTACTCACTTCTTTAGCCCACATTCTAAAATCAGAATAATGTGGAGAACAGCATTCTGTATGATCTGAAAATATCATGAAAATTTGCTATGGGATGTTGTTCTATATGCTCTGGATGTGTTGCTCTGATTGGTTAATCAATAAAGTGCTGATTGGCCAGTAGCCAGGCAGGAAGTATAGGTAGGACAAAGAGAGAGGAGAATACTGGGAAGTGGAAGGCTGAGTCAGGAGAGGCTGCCAGCCACTGCCAGGATGAGAAACAAGATGTAAGTTAACAGTAAGCCACAAACCACGTGGCCACGTATAGATTAATAGAAATGGGTTAATTTAAGATATAAGAACTAGATAGCAAGAAGCCTGAGCCATTAGGCCAAACAGTTTAAATAATATAAGTGTCTGTGTGTTTATTTGGGTCTGAGTAGTTGATGGTCTGAGCAGGACTGGAGAAAACTCCAACTACAAAAATTTGTAAAAAGCAGTCCGGGACAGCTTTACTTATGATCACACAGCAATTGTGATAGCATTCACCAAGCCTTTCAAACTCAAGCCAGACCAAATTCTAGGACAGAGAGGAGAATTAGTCTTCCCCAGGGAGGAACCCCCAGATTGGTTATCCAATACCAAGTGGTCAGCCCTAGAAACATATCCATGCAGGCAACACTAAACAGACCCAACAGATTGTATTTATATATTTTTATATGCATATATAACAATAATGATAAAAAACACAGGCTGTGAATTTGAGAGGGACTAGGGATTAGGAGCATGGCAAGAAAAGAGGGAGGAGAAAAAGGAGGGATGACATAATTATATTTTAATTAAATTAAGACATATTCCTTAAAAAAGCAGTTGGCAACAAAGCTAGCTGTTCAAAGTTTTTGTTTTGTTTTGTTTTTTAAAAGTATTCCATATGTCTAACAAAAGTTATCCTCTTTTCCTGAGAGGGGCAGTCAAATGTCCTATGCTCAGAGTCAGAAGACCAAAGTTTACAAGTGAGAATATGGGATTGTCAGAGGCCATGAATAAAGAACATTTACACATGACCCTTCAACCTCTGGAACTTATGCTTTTATGTTAGAATTAATACTTTCTATAACTGTACTCCTTCAAAGTTTTCCAAGTGTCCAAAATAATGATAGCTGGTTCAGAGCCTCATCTCACACTAAGTTTTTCTCTATGGTGATTCTGATTTACATGGCTATCATTACTTATGCCACTCATTTTAGTAAAGCACAATCCTGTTCTAGGCTGATGTTCAGGACTCTTAGCTAAGCCAAATAATTTCTCATGGAAACAGTCTTTCTCTCAAATAGGGTTGACAAGTGTGGGTGGGAACTGGCGGATCACTGTTGCAGATAGTATTTGTAAACCTGTCCAATGCCATCCTCAATCCTGATTAATTAGTGCTGTAATTTCCAGGAGTCGAAAAGGACTCATTTTATCTATTTGTGACATACATTTACAATCTATTTACATAGAAGGTGCACATTATGATTTAAACTTTACATTATAACAATAAATATCTAAAACACCTAATGGTTTTAGTATAAAAAATTAGAATTAAATCAAAATTTATTTATTTATTTATTCATGTGTGTGTGTGTGTGTGTGTGCATTTTGTGATCACATCATGGTAGATTTATTGGCATTTGTTATCATGAAGATAACTTATGAATTGTTTATACTCCCACATCATCTGTATTTTACAGTCCAGACATAATTATCAGTACACTAATAAGCAAAATCCTTTCTTAGGTTTTCACAAAGACTATACAAAAAGAAATACATCGGAAGTAATGCTGGGTCCTGCCCAACTATCAAACAGTCTTGAATAGAGGAGTGAGGATTAAGAAATAATAGATATGAAGAATAAAGATGTAGATAACATAAAAGAGAAAAAAAACACAGAATAGCATCTGGAGGGCTCTGGGTCAGTACCACAGTCACCCTGAGTTTATTTCTCAGGGCATTTTTATACACAAAGCAGGGGAGGCAAAAGACCTCCCACTCTCAAGGACACCATGGTTTAAGGAACAAACTAGTGTAAATACCTCCTTAATTCTCAAGACATCTGGTAATCACACCTTTGTCCAAACATCCTATTATCGAGCGTTAAAGAGGAAAGAGAAGCTTGAACTCTCAGACCTTGAGTCAAGATGGAATCAAGTCACAAACTGGAGTCCTCTGTGGGCTCCCACAGAGGAATATATCTATTGTAGAATGTATGTTAATTTGGAACCATATAACATACTGTCTTAGCTTGTCAGCAATATTTTGATATGTTAAAATTATCAAAAGGGATATGCCTTTAACAAATGATACAATATTTGGAATCACAGTAATTTTATTTTTACTACATAGATAATTGTAAATGTAATTCCAAATATCAGATCATGAAGGTCAGGGACTGTCTACATGTGCATGGGCTAATTAAAGCTGGGAATAATGATAACGACATCTAGAAGAAAACGATGACGAGGATTTAGACAGCCATGACGGAACATTTTAGCTCCTTAGTCTCAGTTAGGAGACAAGTGTCTAATCTGAGATTCCTTCCTACAAATTTATGTTCAAATAACTTTCCCTTTATGAAATAATAGTGGTGGTAATGGCAGATGGTGTTGGTAGTATTTGCCGTTTTTAATGTTTGTTGTATAACTATTTTCTCTGGATTGAAACATTAGCTCTTGGAGGAGGGAGGCTCCTAAGGAAGCTAATTATTGTTCACTGTGCTCAGGAAGCCCAGGAATTTAGAAAACACCTGGCAGCCTCATCAAGGTCATATCAACAATGGTGGTTTCAGGGTATAGGGGAATCTCTAACCCACTAAACTGTCTTCAATCATGCACCAAGGCCAGAGAGATGCCTCTTTCTTGAGCTGTTGCCCATGCTGGGATGAGAATTTCAGTGATGCAGCTGCCTTTATCCATTCTGTTTCTAGTGTCCTATGTGCAGTGAATAAATACATAGTGTTCACATCTCCCCAGGAAAAGTCACAGTCCACGTTCTTCTATGCCAAATCACAGCGCATTTCATTCCTGTGTGGGTATAGAGTCGAGAGCTCCTGGCCCAGACGCTAAGCTCCTTTCAGCTAGTCTCCAGCAGGAAAGATTGTTATTTTAAGAAATAATGATGAATCAAATAATAAAATTTTGTACATATTATTTTAAAATACTATTGTGTCAGTATAAACATTTCCCTTGTTACCCAGAATACTGAGCTCTAATATTGTTCTATAAATATTTAACAAGGTATGGCAAAACGAATAAATTATGTGAACTGACTGCATTTCAACCATTAAGGAAATAACATAAAGAACACAGTAATGAACAAATGAGATTTATTTTTCACTGAGCTGAGGGAAATTAGGAACATTCTTGAATGAGGAGGATAAATTATAGAAGTAGGAACTATTTAATTTTCTAAACACCAGTGATACTTCTAATGCCCCCTTCTCTCTTATACTTGAGTTTTGTGGTGACCCTGGTAAAATGTTCAGTGTAACTTTTTTCCAGACATTTTCCATTTTTTAATTTCTTGAGATAGAGTGTTAAGTGGCTCAGGCCTCCCTTAGGAATCACTGTTGTAGCTGAGAATGACCTAGGATTCTTGATCTTCCTGTCCTATAGCCCAGCTGCTGGCGTCACAGGTGCCTGCATCACATCTGGCTTAGACATCCAAAACATCATTCCATTTACTATATCACAGTATTCAGAGCTGTCACAACACACATTTGTCTTATTTAAACAATCCCAAAATTAGGAACACGGTCATGCATATTTCTGTCCAAACAGAGCAAAATGCAACGAAATGAAGCTTTTCTCTGGGTCAGATCTACAAACTACCCAGTTGTATTTTCCTTCTCAAGCAGAATCAACATTTGCTTTCTATGTCTTAAAGCTCTCTCTATCATTTGTGTGTGTGTGTGTGTGTGTGTGTGTGTGTGTGTGTGTGTGTGTGTGTGTGTGTATAGGAAACTTATTTTCCAAATGATCATATCACATGTAAACTTTGAGGTATGGTATTTTTTGATGATAGCTTTGTCTTAGTATATATTTTGAGCTCTCATATTGCCTAACCATGTGATCTTGTTTTTACAAACAGTATAGTGAGGGAGACTGTGTTTTTTCCTAACCAGAAGACTCAAGACAACCTTTCTAGTCTACCAAGAAAACTCCCCTTTTCCATCTATAGAAAGGCAATGGGAAAGGTATTCTTGACAAAGGGGAAGTGAGGGAATGTCATAGTTATAGTTAGACAATGATGGATCTGTTTGAGCAGCTCCCAGTCTCCCTTCTGGACATCTATGGGGAGGGGGTCAACTTTCATGCTGTATAGTCACAGTTCTTCTTTTAAGCTTACTTCCTTCCAATTTTCTTTGCATGCATCAGATCTTCCTGGAATGGAAAAGCTTCTATGTCTAATTCTCATTCATGGGATTCTCAGTGTGTAAATTGTCTTCATGCATGCTTTCTAAGTGCCCCTGGGCCACAGGGACTCTTGTCTCTTGTCTTTAAATTACACTTACTTGTAGACTTCACTATTACTTTATTACTATCCTTAACAGTTCCTACAAGCTATGGTTCTATTTTGAACTTAGCATCTAGTCAGAATTAGATAAAACTGACTATTGTGATTAAATATGTATTACACAGAATAATGTTTGTTCCTCCTTGAGTAATAATGACACAATTTTGTTACACAGAAAATAGAACAGGTGTATGTGCTTGGTAAACTAATATCAATCTTAGGAACTTTGTTGGTGGCATATAGATTTCACAAAGCATAAGGAAAATGCAGTGGGCATCTGATAATTTCCTCCTGGGGAGAATTGGTCCATATAATTGAGATAGGAGTTAGAAAATTATCTTCTGAACATGGCATTAGGTGCACTTTTTTTCATTTGTGTAATGTTGGCATAATTAGATACATACAAAACTAAAATGTATTTTATTTGGTGTCCAGTGTTTTCATTTGTGTTAGGGGAAAAGCTATTCTTTAGAGTATGCAAGATTTAATTTAATATTAGTTCTAACCAGTTAAACTTCTGAGAAGGTCGTATTAACTCACCTCTTCTGCATGAATCCCACACAGCTTACTTCCTGACAACAATTTGTTTTTCAAGCTTTTATTCTGAGGAAAGAAAGAAAATTTTACACAAAAAGTGGTAAATTAATAAGAACTTCCTTAATTAATTCAAGCATATCACTCTATGTTTGGCTCACAGATTAAACATGTAAATGTTATCTAAAGAATTTATAAGAGTTTGTTATTCACTCTAAAACAATTTTTCAACCAAAATTTTCATCAACCAATTTTAGGATATTTACTTAAAACAAAAAACTTTGGCCAAGGAGAGGCTTAGTAGGTCAAGGTACTTGCCGCCAAGTGAGATGACATGAGATTGATCCCAAGGACCCACATGTTGGAAGGAGAGAACTGACTCCCAAAAGTGGTCTTATGATCTATCTCCACAGGTATACCATAACACATGCAGATGAACACACACACACACACACACACACACAGCAGGCACACATATAAATGTGAAGAAAAATAAAAGTATCAGAATTTACCTAGAGGTTTTCTTCATTTACGTTTCTTTACTTTTACATGTAGTTTCATAAAACAACCTCAGCTCCCCATTAGCACTCCATGCTATCTTCCACAAGCATCTCTCCCATGGCGCCTGCACAGGGGGCGCCTTATGGCCTAGTACAATACAGCCACACACTCAAAGAACATCTGCATTCCACCAAAGACTAGTCTCAGAATCTTATCACTATGGAGAGACTTCATATTTAAGGTTCTTTTGTGTTTAGAAGCAAGTTCTGATTCCAGCCCTCAGAAGAGAGTGATCTGTTAACCTTATAAATCTTCCAACATTGGCAGAGGTTGGGAGGTAAACATTTGTTTCTCTGACTCTTCCTGACCTTATGAGAAAGGCCAGAGGCGTGTGTCATCCGTTGTGATGGGGACTGAGCACAGGGGCTGGAGCATGCTAGCTTACTGCTTCACTATTGAAATACAGGTCTCACAAACACTCATTTCCATCTGAAAAGTACAGAGAAATCCATATGAAAATGAAGTAGTTTTATCATCCCCAAATTTTAATCTTTTCCTCTCTCCTCCTTTGAGGCTCCATTTGACAGTTCATCAAAGAGCCAGTTTCAGTCTCTCTAATGTTCTTACTTTCTCACTGTATCTATGGCATCCTCAGAAGAAGTTCCAAAAACTAAGACAAGAGTCTCATTCTTTTCCATTGAAAAAGAGAGATCAGAAACCATAAACACAGCAGCGTTCAAAGCACAGAGAATCTGACACTTTTAGACCAGACTTTATTCTTTCTTAATGAGACTTTCTGCTATAGTAAAGTTAGGCTGTCAGTGTTCCTAATCCAGACAACCAATAGGCTGGTTGCCCTCGTGTGTAAATTGACATTATGTACCTCATGTCTACACTCATTTCAATTTCTGTTAGTGTCCATAAAATTTTCTGCCTGCACATGGTGAAAGCAACCCTCATTCCAATTTTTTTTGTTTGCATCAAAAGGCAAAGAGACAAAGAGGGGGTGAAGGGGGGAGGGAGGGAGGGAGGGAAAGAGGGAGGGAGAGAGAGAGAGAGAGAGAGAGAGAGAGAGAGAGAGAGAGAGAGATTGTCAGGTAATCTTTTTAATTAAATTTTTTATAGAATTTATTTTAATCCTGGAGTAACTGTAGGAATGTGGAAAATAAAAAGGAAACATTGCAGGGGTAGGAAGGCAATAGAAAGGGAGAGAACAGGGTACAAGTGATATGGTCTGGGAAATGGGAGAAGCAGGCATTTAATTAGGGGGAGGAAGGTAAATGCAAAAGACAGAGGTAGGAGGGTAGAATTGCAGTAAGGACGCCTGAAAAGTCGCAAGGAATCATACTATTAACTATCTAAAAATCCCACATGATACATGTAAGTCTGAGTGTAAATATACATATATAGCCTAAATGAATTGTTCTCATCTGGGCTGGCAACGTTCCCTGCAACAGCCAAAGACCACCTAACAAAAACATCAACATGCTAGGATAGCCCAAGTCCTGACCCAGATGTATCCACCTTACTGCAGAACTGCAGGTGTGAGACAAAGTCTAGGAGGAATGTCCTCCAGGGCAGAACAAGGCCCACAGGGCAGGGAGCGCAGAAGAAAGGACTCAGGTGACAGAGGGACAAGATACTGTTTGCAGCGAAGTGCAGAAAGAAAAGTCGAAATGAGGGGGTCAAAACCACTGTCGGATCAATCTGTCCTTGCAATGCTATTTCCAGCAGCTAGCTAAACAATATATAAACAGCAAGAGGAAAATAGAAATCATTCATTCTCGATGGCCAGGGAAGCATGTAGGTTAACTGCAGATTTCACTTCTCCCTTAGTATCTTCTTCAAATCCAATCCAGCAGTCTCATCCCAAGCTCTGCAGCAGAACACCCGCTGAGCTCCCCAACAAGTCCCTACCTCCATTGGACCACACAAATCTTCCCTTCTTAACCACCCTTCCCCCACTCATTGCTTTACACCATCCCCCAACTTCAACAGGCAATCCCTGGGAACCCACAGGACACTCTGGACAAGGAAGCAGGTAGGCTGATTGCAGAGCTTCACCTCTTCCTTTGTTTCTCCATGTTCAATTAGCAGTCTCATCCCAACTTTGTTGTAGACCTTCTGCCGTGGTCTCTCCCCACTATCTGGCCCCATTCCCAGGGAACTAAGCAGATCCTGACAGAACACCCTGCTTTCCTCTCTCCCATTGATCTCCTCCAACAGCCACTAACCCCAGCTTAAACCTATTCTGAATTGTCAGGTCCTAATACCCAGGGACACATTTTACCTGGAACCCCCCAGTGGCTACAGTTTACCAACAACCAGAGAGGTCAACAGAAGTCAAGGAACAAAACACGCACCCAATGAAGACAAGACCAGATACCAGCACCTAGAATTACATCCTCACAATTCTAGACACCAGTGTAAACACACTCAGTAACCACCAGGACAATATGTGTCCACTAGAGAGCCCAGCAATCTACCATAGCAGGCCCTGAGTATTCCAACACAGCTGAAGGGGAAAAAAGATGTTAAAATAGTCTTTAGAATGTCATCGGGGTCTTAAAGAAGAAGTAATAAAATTCTTAAAGAAAATCCAAGAAATAAATAATCTCAGACTAGCAAATCAAAAGACACACAAACACACACATACACACACACACACACACATACACACACACACACACACACACACACACACCCCAAAATAACAAGAGTCAACAAACACTGCTCATTCATATCACTCAACATCAATGGTCTCAGCTCCCCAATAAAAAGTCACAGACTAACAGAATGAATGCAAAGAAAAAAAAAAAAAAGGATCCATCCTTCTGCTGCATCAAAGAAACTCACCTTAACATCAAAACGCCGCCTCAGAACAAAAAGGATGAAAAATATATTCCTAGCAAATAAACCTAAGAAGTGAGCCAGTATAGCCATTTTAATATTTAGCACAATAGACTTGAAACCAAAACTAACTAGAAGAGATAGGGCATCATACTACATATTTATCAGAGGAAAAAAATCCAAGAGGACATTTCAATTCTTAACATCTATATCCCAAACACAAGTGCACTCAAGTTTGTAAAAGAAACACTGCTACAGCTTAAGTCATATATTGACCCTCACATGCTGATAGTGGAAGACTTTAATACCCTACCCCTGTCAGTGACAAGTCATCCAGCAAAAAACTAAACAGAGAACTGCTGGAGTTAACTGATGTTATATATCAAATGGATGTAACAGATATCTACAGAATGTTTCACTCAAGCACAAAAGAATATATCTTCTTCAGCACTTCATGGAACTTTCTCCAAAATTGAACACATACTCAGGCACAAAGCACATCTCAAATGATGCAATAAAATTGAAATAGCACCCTACATCCTATCTGACCACTACAGATTAAGAATGGATATCAACAACAATAGAAACAACAGAAAGCTTACAAACTCATGGAAACTGAACAACTTACTACTGAGTGAAAAGTGGATCAAGAAAGAAATTAAAGACTTTCTAGAATTGAATGAAAATGAATGTACAATATACCCCAAATATGTGACACAATAAAGAAGATCTGAGAGGCAAGTTCATAGCACAAAGTGCTTACATAAAATGTTGGAGAGATCTCATACTAGTAACTTAATAGCACACCTGAAAGCCCTAGATCAAAAATAAGAATTCACACCCAGAAGGAGTAGATAGGAAGAAATAAAAACTCAGTGGTGAAATCAATAAAATAGAAACAAAGAGAACAATACAAAGAATCAATAAAAGACCAAAAGAGTTGGTCCTTTGAGACAATCAATAAAATTGACAAACACTTATCCAAATTAACTAAAAGGCAGGAAGAGAGTATCCAAATTAACCAAATAAGAATGAAAAGGGGAGTATAAAAAGAAACTGTGATGAAATCCAGAGAATTATCAGGACAAACTTTTAAAACCTGTACTCCACCAAAAGAAATGGATAATTTTCTTGATATATACCACTTACCAAAGGTAATTAATCAAGATCAGATAAGCAATTTAAACAGACCTATAACATCTAGTAAAATATATGCAGTTATTAAAAGTCCTCCAACTAAAAAAAAAAACCCATGGCCCGACGGTTTTAGCACAGAATTCTACCAGACTTACAAATAAAAGTTAATGCCAATACTCCTCAAATAAGTTCAGAAAATAGAAGCAGAACGATCATTGTTGCCCAGTTCACTTTATGAGACCATAGCTACCCTGATATCTAAACCATACAGAGTCAATGATGAAAGACAATTTCCTTTATGAGCATAGATGCAAAAAATTGTCAATAAAATATTCTAAAACGGAACCTAAGAATACATCAAAAAGATCATCCACTATGATCAAATAGGCTTTATCTCAGAGATGCAGGGGTGGTTCAACATAAACAAAAAGATAAATGTAATTCAACATATAAATAGACTGAAAGACAAAAACATTGTGGTCATCTTAGTAGATACAGAAAATGCCTTTGACAAAATTCAACACCCCTTCATTGTAAACGTCGTGGAGAGATTAGAGACACAAGGGATATACCTCAACAAA